AGAAAGAAAGAAAGAAAGAAAGAAAGAAAGAAAGAAAGAAAGAAAGACAGAAAGAGAGCAGGGCGAGCTCGCGCTCGTGTGCTATGGACGGCTTACTGGGCTCTTGCCCTCCTCTTGTCCTCTGTGCTGGGCTCTGTGGCTGGGCCTTGTCCTCTTCTTGTCCTTGTCTTGGCCGCGCCCCTGAACTCTGTGGCTGGGCTCTGTGGCCCGGCTCTGTGTCCGGGTCTTGTCCTCCTCTTGTCCTTGTCTTGGCCACGCCACTGAACTCTGTGGCTGGTCTCTGTGGCCCGGCTTACTGGAGAGGAGTGTGGCCGAACAAATAGGGATGGCAATGCCGACAAAAATTCATTGATGAAGCAGTTTGCTCTTGGGGTGAAAGTAGGGCGAACCAAGAAATCAATTTTTGACTAATATTGGTTTAAGCAAATCATTTTGAAACTGTTTGGGGTCTATGCTTGTATAATTTTTTAAAGGTGATGTGCTCTGAGTGCCATTTTGGCGGGTTGCTAGGCCTTGTGCCTCACCGGCTGCCCTTGGCTCAGAAGTAGTCCAGCCTTCTGATGAATGTAGTGGTCTTTGTCTGCAAAGATCTTTGAGAGTCTCTCTGCAGCATGTCGGTAGATGACCTTGTGATCTGCAACCAGGACCTCCTGCCATTCTGTTTGCCGCTTGTCATGGATGGCATTGGCTCGCTCCCATGCCACCAGCGCTGCATCTCGCTGCCTTCGTCGCAACTGAGGTTCATTGCCCGGGGCGTCTGGTGTCTGGGTGTTTCGGCTCACGTACAAGACGGTGACTCGTGCCAAATCCTCTTCAGTGAGCTGCTCCAGGAGATCTTGGGAGCTCTCTTGTGCGGGTGCGTCCAGATCTCCCAGACTCAGGCCAACTGGACAATGACCCTCACCTGGGTGGTTGTGTGCTTGGCAGGAGCCCTCCAGCATGGTGGCCAAGGTGCTTGGCTAATACCTGTCTCATGGCTTTGCGGTATCTGGGTGCCAAGCCTTGTGCCTCCAGTCCCCATAGTGCCACCGGTTGGATCCCACCTTTGTGTAGGCGGAGTCTGACCTTCAAAGCTGGAATCTTGAGTGTTGTAAGGCGGACTCTCCTTTGTTGGGCCTTCTGGAATCTTTGTCGTTGTACTGGGATGCGTCTTCGTCGTGCTGCCTGATGATCGATGCCGAGGTCTCGCATCACAGTGGCGACTGGCGGCTCCAGGTCTGTGAGCAGGCTCTTCAGGGCATGATCTGTGCTTTTGTCTGTGGCCACAAAGGCTGTCGTCTTTTGGTACAAGTCACGGTAAGCTGCTACTGCCTGCTGGGCCACCTGCATTTGTGTGTCAGCCTGGAGATCAAATCCCACATCATCAACCCAGCTTGAAAGATGAGCCTGTGGATGGCTCTCTTTCCAGGGCGCCAGTGCCGGCGCCAACACCACTTTTGCAAGCATGGTGCCTGTGGGCATCCAGCGGGGATGCCATGCTCCACATGGAAGAAAGGCGTCGTCTCCTGTTCAGCCAAAATGGCCTTGGGGCCGCAGTACAGCTGCGTTGCCAGTTCCAAGAGTAGGACTGGGTAGCCAAGTTTGACGCTAGCCAAGTTTGACCGCTTCCTCTTGCAGTCGACTGAGATGGATAGTGTCGTAGAAGGTTGACATATCCATCAGGACCGTGACTCCGTGTTTGTGGCGAGCCTTATGGACTTCCTGCCTCAAGAGCCTTGCCAGGGCCACATGTAAGGCACAAGCTCCCGGTCTTGCCTTGTCGTGGTCCATGAAAGCAGGAAGCTGTCGTTGCCATTGATCCAGCAAGGGCTTGCGCAGTTTGCACCAGGGTGATTGGCCTCTCCAGAAGTTCTGCGTTGGCTTCCCAAGAGCAATTCGGTTGCCTCTTGTTGGACCTTGGTGCGCTTCAACGGTTTCAGCTTGCTGAGTCCTGGAGGGGGTTCTGGCCAGGATCTGTAGCCAGTGGAAGCTTTGTTGGCTGGCTTTCCATATCCTTTGCCTTTGCCTTGTCAGTTGTAGGCCACCAGGTTCCACACTTTCTACATTTAGCGCCAGGCCTGAGCTTGTCGGAGTAGATCCAATTGGAACACGAGCTGTGCTGACAGACCATGTAGGCTTTTTCCCATTGAGTAGGCATTGCGCCGGCTGCGGTGACCCTCAAGGCCGTCCTAATTGCTCAGCTTGGAGTTTGAGGATCAGCGCACAGACCTCGATCTGGCCTGGGAAATTGTCAGGGATGTAGCGCCAGGTTCAGGATGTCCCGCTGGTTGAGGTGCCCTGGTGGTAGTTCTGGTGATAGCCTTGCCCCTCTCTATAGCGGGCAAAGCACCAGTGCCTTTGAGGTCTTCAGTGCTTGGCTCCAATGGCGGTTACTCCTGTAACCGGGTTGGTATTGGACCGGTTCGAGACCTGAAAAGTAGGCTTGAATGTATGAATGTATGTATGTATGCAGGCATGCATGCATGCATGCATGTATGGTATGTATGGTATGTATGATATGTATGATATGTATGGTATGTAAGGTATGTGTGGTATATGTGGTATGTGTGGTATGTATGGTATGTATGGTATGTAGGTTATGTATGCAATGTATGTAATGTAAGGTAATGTAATGTAAATTGATGTAATTAAGTCGTAAGTAAGTATGTATGTATGTATGTATGTATATAATTAATGTAATGTATGCATGCATGTATGTATGTAATGTAATGTATGTATGCATGTATGCATGTATGTATGTAATGTAATGTATGTATGTAATTAATGTATGCAACTCATGTATGCAATTAATGTATCCAATTAATGTATGTAATTAATGTATGTAATTAATTTTTGTAATGACTGTATGTACTTAATGTATGTACTTAATGTATGTAATTAATGTATGTCATTAGTGTATGTAATGTATGTATGTATGTAAGTGAGTAAGTATGTATGTATGTATGTATGTATGTATGTATGTATGTAGTGTGTATGTATGTATGTATGTAAGTATGTAATGTAATGTAATGTAACCTAATGTAATGTAATGTAATGTAATGTATGTATGTATGTATGTGTGTATGTATGTAATGTATGTAATGTAATGTAATGTATGGTATGTATGTAATGTATGTACGTATGGTATGTATGGCGTGGCATGGCATGGCATGGCATGGCATGGCATGGCATGTATGTATGTATGTATGTATTGTTTTTTCTTCTGAAGTTTCTTTGCTGCGAGTGCTCGAAGGCTCTTTGGCCGAGTGTGCCAGCTGCCCCTCTTGCCGCTGCCGTCTGGTAGCTGTCGGTCTCTTGATAAAAGAAGTCGACTTGGACTATGGGGTCATCATCCGCAGTTTCCTCTTCACCTTGCTCTGGTTGGCTGGGTGTCAAGGCCTGGTGAGCATGCTGAGACATCTGTGGCGGCGCGCTTGGAGCTGGCTGGGTTAGTTTCATGGCCGGTGGTTGCTTGACTGCTCCTAGCCTGACTGCCAAAAAGCTGAAGCAGTGTGGGAGAGAGAGGATTGACTGGATTGACTCTGTCCCTTGCATTCGTTGTGGAGCCCTTTGGTCAAAATCACACGTTCCGCTTCATCAAGATGACTTTGTAGTCCACAGTTGCGGCGTTTGATGCCCTTGCCTTTCTGCCACAGGCTGTGTGTGGAATGAGCATTGTGCGGTTTAGTGTATTCCTCATCGATGCAGCGGCTGCGGACGAAGCCATTGAAGATGGCCTCATTGGCCCTCTTGGGGACCGAGAGACTGCATTTGCTGCGCTTGATGTAGCCTGTGGTTTGTTGGAGGGCATGCTCGTCGGAGGCAACTGGGTGTTGCTGGTGGAGGGCCAGGAGCTCAGCTATGGTGCTCGCTCTGGTTGGTTTCTTGCCAACTGCCTTGGTTGGTGGCATGTCTTCAATGGTGTCAACCGTCAGGCCTTGGTGTACCCGAGTGTGGCATGTATGGCACTGGTAGCCACTACGGTGTGGCTCCCACTGGTGCTTGCCGGTGACTTTCTTGTACTGCTTCGTGGTGCGCCCTGCTGGCCTCACTGGTTTCTCATGAAGGTAGTGTTGAGGGTCTTTGTAGATCTTCTCCAGCCGGGCTGCTGCATGTTGGTAGACCTGGAAACGGTGCTGATCGAGGGTTCGTTGGATGGTGTTCGCCCTTTCCCAAGCCGCTGGTGGCGTAGGTGTGGCTCACTGCCTGGTGACCACCAATCATCCATGAGGTTGATGCCGGCTTCAGTCATGAAGGCTGTCTCGTACCTGGTCCATCGATACAGGCTGTCGCCCCCATTCCATGGCTGCGATGGGGCCTTTGATGCGGTACCATATGGGTGCTGTTGCTTGCTAAGCTGGTTGCGAAGCTGGAGCCAGCCCTTCTCGATATGAGGTCGATGTTCTGGGGGCCAGCTCAACACGAGCCTGTGCATGGAGGGCATGGATGTGTTGGATCACGACCTGGACTCCGGGATCCATGAACTTGGTGCTGACCTGGTCGTAGACCACATCAGGTTGGCCGCCTTGGTGGAGCCAAAGATGTGTGGCTCAGGCCTTGGCGGAAACGCTTGCCCTTCAAAACCCCAAAGTGCAACTGGTTGGACCCCTCCGCTGTGTAAACGGAGTCTGGTTCTCAAGTTTGGTAGTTTGAGGGTGCGCAGTCTGATGCGTTGTTGACCCCTGCGTCTCCCAGCCGAATGGTCGATGCCAAGGTCTCTCACGACGGATAATGCCAATGCTTTGTGTGTGGTTTTGTTGGTGACAATGAAGGCCGTTTTGGTGCTATTGACCAGGAGCCCTGCGGCCTGCAAGTTGTCTCTCAGTTCGTGCCAGGCTTGTATGGTCCTGGAGGCAAGGACATGGGCATCAGAGGGACTGCCATCGAATCCAATGTCGTCCACCCATCCATTCAGTGTTCCTGGAATTTGGCCTGAAAGGGTGTGAGGATGGGGTGCAAATTCGCGAGGAGTGGTGCTTGGCAACACCCGGCGGCCACGCCTGCGGTGACATGGAACCATGGCTGTGCTTCCGCCAGAATGGCTTTGGGGCCGGTGTAGACCTTCAGGGCTCCTTCGGAGTGAGTGGGCTGTTTCTGAATGATGTTCAGCCGTGCTGGCAACTGTTCTCAGTAAGCTGGTTTGCCCTTTTCCCACATCGCTCCGGCTTTGGCTGCGACTAGCGCTTCATGTTGTGCTGTGAGGTTGTAGGCTCGGCCTTGAGGTGCCCACGGATGCTGCTGGAGCAGGTATTGTTCGGCGATCTGGCCCCTGAGTTGGGTTCAGCATCGTAGAGTATGAGGTCCTCTACTTGGGTGACATAGGTGCTCCATGCTCGGAACCTTGCTGGCAGTGGGGGAAAACTTCTGAGCTGGTTGTAGTGTGGCAAGGTTCTGGTGCAGGATGGCGTAGTCGACAGTGTTGCCATTCAGCAGAGCCAGGATTTGCCAGTGGAATTTGGAACTCAACACTGTGCTTTGGAATTGCTTGGGATGGTTGTTCCAATCGCCAACCAACATGAACTGCCTGTTGGAAGCCTGCAGAAGGGCCAGGATACGTGCGAGCAGTTTCGAGTTGGTGTGGCCTTGTATGGTCTCATTGGTCTTGAAGTAGACTGCAATCACCAAGATGCATCTTGCCTTGGCCTCCCAGAGGAACTTGTGAAATGCTGTGGAGAACCAGGATGCCGCCATGGGTGCCTTCATTGGAGGTGTTGCTGTGGGCTGGGTAGACTTCAAAGTATTGACGCATGGAGTGGTGCCTTTGGCTGTCAAGATGTGTCTCGACAAAGACATGGAGCTCGTTGTCGCTGCTCCAAAACCAGTCCAAGGTGTGTTTGCCAAAGGTCGCGGTATTGGCCACATGGATTCGCGTGTGTTCTTGTGTGAATCTGGCCTTTTCGGCGGAGTGCCGTGAAGTGGTGGATCATAGTCTGGGCTTTCCGGCTCAGGCAAAGCCCGTGCTATCTGGCGTGGTGTCACCAGTGCCGATGTCTGGAGGCCCCAAACTTGCTCCAGACAGTTGAGGTGTCAAAAAGGGCAGGACTTTGGGCGTGCCACCATCGTCTGCAATCCACATGAGGTCTTTGTAGACGAGGATCGTGAAGTAGTGGCCAGTGTCATGTGTAGGACCTCTGTGGCAGATGTAAGCAATCGGAATGTACTCCGAGCTGGCTCTTGAGAACCCATGAAGGGATCGTGGGACTGTGCATGGCCCATGTGGATTGAGTGCCCGTTTGTGCTTTGTGACAGTGCCTTCAATGCTGACCGCTCTGTTGATGTGGCTCACCATGACAAGCTTGTCGTCTCCAAGAAACTGGCCGAGTCCGTGGTTGGCCCAGCAGTTTAGGAGTTCTTGCCAAGTGATCTCCTCATCAGGATAGTCCGCGATGAGAGGCAGTTGAACATGTTCAGTCATGTAGCCGCCTTCTTTGATTTCTGAGTGTATTGCGTGACCCGGGTCTGAGACTTCAACCACAATGAGTTGACAAAGTGAGCAGCGTCTCCTTCTGCATTGAGGTTGTGCTTGAGCCAGAGATCCTGGAGGCCGGGCAAGGTCTTGATGTCGACAGCCTCACTCACCTCCAAGCAGGTTTGGACGGCGTCCTTGATGGTGCCCCATGGTTTGTGTTGAACTCCGCCAGATATGCGCACATCCAGCAGAAAGCTCGCCAGGGAGCATTGGCGTAGGATTTGGAGCTAGGGTCCCCCACAATCATGCAAAAGGTTTTGCAGGATGAGGTCCGTAGTGGATGCGTATTCGTTGGCGCTCATGGTTGGGACTCTTCCCAAACTGTCGTAGGTCGTCTGGGTTGAGTCAGCTGCACCCCCAGAGAGCTTTAGGCAGCCGCTGCCATGAACCGAGGGCAAGTGGTGATCAAGATTGGTCTCTGTAGCTGCAGGAGCTGTGTCAGAGTGGATTGAGAAAAACTGTTGTTGCGGGCCCCCTGCAACACAAGTGGTCCCCGTGGCTTGACCTTCTGAGCCATCACATGACGGAACGTCGTCATCCGGTACTGGGAAGGTCCACCCCTGTTGAAAAAGCTGGAACTGAGTGTTACCCACAATGTCCTGGCGTGCCGGGCGCTGTGGCATTGGTTTTCCTGCTCTTGGTTGGGTCGTCAGGATCCTGGTTGGGCCGGTTTGGACGCGTATGGAGTTGGGATTGCGATCTGTTCGGTCTCTCCCGCAGGCTCAGTAAGATCTGTCGGCGGTGGAGTCTGGTTGACCGCCTTCATGTAGTCCTCTGACAATTTTTGAAGTGCCTTCTGACCTTCGGCTAGCTTGGTTTGGAGCTCCTGCATGTCAGTGAGGAGGGCGACCTGCAGCTGGTTTTTGCGGATTGATTTATTCTTGAGCTAGGTAACTTGTCCTTTCAATTTGGCTGCAATCTCCCGCTCCGTGATGGGCTCAGCTTGGAGACAATTTCTTGAACCTGTTGTGGGAGGGCAGAGCTTTTGTGGTTTGGTTGGCCCATTCAATTCCCAAAGCCTGGAGCTTGGTTTGAGTGTCTTCTGGGAGTGTGGTCCAGAGGAGCTGCGTGGCTTCCTGCTGAACCTTGGTGCGCTTCAAGGGCTTGATCTTTGTGAGACCAGGCGGTGACTCTAGCCATTGCTGGTTTCCCATGGCCTTGTTGACCGGTCGTCCATAGCCCTGTGCGGCTTGAGGTCTCCGGCCACCATGTTCCACATCGTCTACACTTGGTGCCAGATCTGGCTCTGTCAGTCCAGATCCAGTTCGAACATGTGCCCTTGGTGCACACCATATAGGCACGTCCCCACTGTGGCGTCATTAGTGGCCTAGCTGCACTTGTTCTAGATGTGATGTTCAGCTCGCCTGAGAAGTCTTCAAGGGAGAAGCACCAGACTGGGTCACGAGGTCCCGCTGGTTGAGGTGCCGAGGTTGTAGTTCCCCTGGCGAAAGATCTTGTCCCTCGCTATTGCGGGCAAACGAAAAGGTACAAGTGGCACTCAGTGGCGGTGATGCCGAGAGGACCCTCGATATATCCCGTGGTGATGCGCACGAGCCGGTCTTTATGGGGGCTGCCAGCTTGAGACCTCAAAACCTTGAGCCATGTGTGTTATGTTATGTTATGTTATGTTATGTATATGTATGTATGATTTTGCAGCTGGACCACTGGATCAAGGACAGATTCTTACAGGCTGATGAAGCATGTTGAACATTTTGCTAAGCTTTGTTGTGGAGGCTGCAGACTTCCTTCTGCGGCCGAGCAGCCAGGACCAGGTTAGGTCCCAGGTTGAAGGCCCAGACCTGAATGAGGGGTAAAGAGGCCAAGCTGAGGCCCTCAGAGAAAGGAAGGCCACGATGTTCGTTGTGTTGGTGCAGGACTACAGCGCTTTCCGTGAGGACTTCGAAAAGCTTGGCCTGGCTGGAGCCTGAATGAGTGAGAGGGTGGGTACAGATGCCCTCGAGTGCCCCCCAGTAGCTTCTTGCTACTAGTAGGGATGCACTTGTTACTAGCAGCGAGTCAAGCCTAATGATGTGCATCGAATTCTGTCCCACTCCCACTACTCTGAATGGAACATCAAGGCACATGAAGTATCAAGTCGTCGTGTTGCCTGCTTTGAGGGTAACGCAACATCAATTGTATCCTTTTTGATGAGGAACGAATCAGCACAAAGGATGCCTGCCAAAGAATCTCAAAAACGAAACGCTCAGACGAACATTGATGCTTCGGCAGGCTCGTTGATACTCCTACTGCGGGAAGACCCTGTACTGTTAGAGATCATGCAAATCTAGGTGGCCTTCAGCGGGCACCTCTGACCAGGGCAGGATTCCGAATGGCTTTTGCAGGAGTTAATTATGCAGTATACCTTCAGTCTTGTTTGAAAGTCCAGGTGGCTGTGGGAGTAGAGGCTCACACATGGAAAGTGCAGATTCAATCCAAGGAAGATCAATCATGGTCAGCTAGACATGCTAGACTCACTCTGATCAAGTGGACTTTGGCACCTGACCTTGTGTTCCTTTTCCAATATTTCACGGCCTATATTATTTACATCAAACACGTGTTCCTCGCCAAGGATTATGGCACTTTGCCGAGTACCTCAAAGTCTTGAGTCATGAGCGAGTTTGCTTGGCAATTCACGGGGTCTTCCTGCGAAATCCAAGAACATTATTGTGTGTGTTTGGATGCTTTTTTGACATATCTATGTTTTCTTGATGTGGACGATCAAGTGAAAGTATCTCACCTTACAGCTCATTGTTGGACACTAAGACCCATTAGAGAACCCGAAGCAAATGGACCCAGTCAACGGGTGGGTCTAAAGTGTCCTGCCCATGGCTACTGTGAATATCGCCGCTTCAATGAAGCACTGATGTTCACTCGAACCAATACCTCTCCTTTGCTTGGCTGTTCATCATTGGGTATATTTATGAGGAATCCCCAAAACTGTCCATGACAAACACAAACATCAGTAACCTTACATTTGTGGAGTTTGTGAGTGCCCTTTGGATAGTTTTAATAGTTTTACAGTGAACAGCAATCCTATCTAGTCCCAGCTCAGCAAACAGGCACATTATCAAAGGAAGTTTAGAAGGAACTTCCGTGTTACGAACATTTACATCACTCATCATACACCACTCATCATACACCACTCATCACCACTCGTCAAACCACCACTCATCAAACCACCACTCATCAAACCACCACTCATCATACACCACTCATCATACACCACTCATCAGATTTCGTGGCAGGCGCAGCAATTTGTGAACCTCCATGTGCAGATTTCGTGGCAGGTGCAATACAAAATGCGTTTTCGAGAGATAGCGGACGCAGACGCACGAAATGCTGTATTTTTCAATAGAACCGGTGGCTTCGAACCTGGCAAGTCTAGCTCTGCGGAACGACTGTTGCGAGACGGTCTCGGGTCATGGTCGGTCGGCCGTCCATTGTGATTAGGTTTTCACTTGTCTCTTGAAGTGCAGATTTTGTGGCAGGCGCAGCACTTTGTGAACCTCCATGTGTAGATTTCGTGGCAGTCACAGCGCTTTGTGAACCTCCATGTGCAGATGTCGTGGCAGGTGCAGCACTTTGTGAACCTCCAGGTGCAGATTTCGTGGCAGGCACAGCACTTTGTGAACCTCCAGGTGCAGATTTCATGTCAGGCACAGCACTTTGTGAACCTCCATGTGCAGATTTCGTGGCAGGCACAGCGCTTTGTGAACCTCCATGTAGCTGAGAACTGGC